TTCCCCCTCCTTCCCTATCTTCCTCCCTTTTCTCCAGCCCATGGTACTGCCCTAGCCCAAGCCACCATCACGTTTTGCCTGAACAGCATAACAGCCTGCTAATGGGAATCTCTACTTCCACTCACTCACTCACTCACTCACTCACACACTCATTCGTTTTCACCGAGGGACTCTGAGGGGCTCCTGTGCAGTTACTAAGGGTCCTGCCTGTCTACTTAGGTGTCCCCATCCTGACAAACTTGGCGAGAATGAAGCCTCCTCCCCTAACCCTGGGTCTAGTGCCTCCTCCTGGAACAGTGCTGCGGAGAGAGTTTGGGTGTTAGAACCAGACAGGGCTCCTGTCTGCACTGCAGCATTTCCCAGCCACAGGTGACCCCAGGCAAGCCCCTTCCCCACTTCCCTGGGCTTCAGATTCTTCCCCTCACAAGATGGAAAGCATTCCTTCCATCTTCGCCCCTGACTCCACCTGTGCCCTGGATCATGTATCCATGTGCCAGTTTCAATACTCCACTTGGATGCATAATGAGCATCTGAAACCAAAATATGGAAAACAGAATGCTGCACTCATGTCCCCTGCCCAGCACCCCGTCTGAACTCACTCCTCCCCAGGCCTTCCCCATTTCAGCCAATGGGATCGCCACCTTCCCAGTTATTCAGGCCTAAGCCTGGGGGCCATCTTCACTTCCTCTTGCTTCATATTCATCTGCAAGCCCTGTCACTTTACCTCCAAAGTATACACGGGATCTCTCCTCTTGTCTCCAGCCCATGGCACTGCCCTGGCCCAAGCCACCATCATGTTTTGCCTGAACAACACAACAGCCTGCTAATGGGGATCTCTGCTTCCAGTCTTGCCCTCCTGTGATTCATTCTTCATACTGTAGCCATAGTGATCCTTCAAGAATAAGGTAGGTTAAGTTTTCCTGTCATAAGGCCTGACCTGCCTCTGTGGACTGATCTTCCCTTGTTCACCATACTCCCAACACACCAGCCGTCATATGGTTTTCAAACATGCCCAGAGCCTTTGCACGTGCTGTTCCCTGTGCCTGGAATAATACTTCTCAGTATTTAAGCTTCAGCTTCGATGTCACCTGCTCAGACAGCCTTCCCTGACCACGCATCATTTTCCACCCCATCATTCCTTCTTGTCCTTTTTAAGCACTTACCACTACCTAAAATCATCTTCATCCTGGGATTTTCAGCCTTTTTCATCCCATGGCTCACATAAATTAATTACTAAAATTCTGCAGCACACCAAAAATTTATTATATTTTTTGTTGATCTGACAAAAATATAGGTATAATTTTTATTGATTTACAAAAAATAATAAAAATAGCAATTACCTCCCTTTTTTGCTGCAAAGTGACTTTTAAAAAAATCAGGTGCTTATTCTTGTACATAAAGATTTCTGTTACCAAAAAACAAACAAACAAAAAACAACCCAATCAGACACAACCTGATCCAGCCAGAAGGAGGACCTCAGGACATGACACTTTTCTCAGGGTAAGTGAGTTTACCAGCTGCTTTATTTGCTGTCAAAAAAGAATCTGGGACCTCAAGAAAGACCAGGTGTCTTGGAAGGCAGGAGAGGAGGTGCCCTTGACCCTTGGCACTCCTTCTTTGAACAGTTAATGACTTCGATAATTTGGGGCAAACCCAAAGGTTGGCATGACGTGTCACTTGCTGGGGCCAGCAGCTGGGGTGTGGGGTGAGTCACTGGGAGTCTCTCATTCCCCCCGGAACCAGCTGTCAGGCCCGCAGAGAAAGCCAACTCCCTGACGCTGGGACTCACGCTAAGAAAGTGGCGATTCTTTGGCAGGAAGTGGAGTTATACCTCACGGTGTCTACATATCTGGGATTTGCTGAGATCTCCATGTGTGTTCTCCCCAAATGCTAAGGGCCTCGTGCCCCCAGCCGCAAGGCAGGCAAGCTCCATGGGCTTGTCAGCGTTGGAGTAACAGCCCCTGCCCTGGGCAGGTGAGAGGGAGCAGGTGTCCTGTCTCCACGGTGGGAAGTGACTCCAGCTAAAGCATTTCTGCACGTGGCATCATGGCCTCAAGCTGGAGCAACTTCCTGGGGCCCTGCAACACCGTGGGCTGCCAGCAGCTGGGTAAACTGAGGCATCAAGCACATCCACCTTTGGGGTTTAACTAGTACAACCACCTACAGTTTTCATCTTAATCAGGAGAGTGGCAGCCTACTCCTTCTAAACTTCAGACACTCTGGCACAAAAAGGTCCAACAAGCCCGGCTGGTGTGGCTCAGTGGTTGAGTGTCGACACAGGAACCAAGAGGTTACTGGTTTGATTCCTGCTTATGGCACATGCCCAGGTTGCAGGCTCGATTCCCAGTGGGGGCCATGCAGGAGGCAGCTGATCAATGATGTTCCTCTCTCATTGATGTTTCTATCTCTCTCTCTCCCTTCCTTTCTCTCTAAAAATCAATAAAACTTATTTTTTTTTTAAAAAAAAGGTCCAACAGTTTCCTCATTAGCTTGAGATCTACGTAGATCTATGACGCTAAACTGGAAATTCTGACTGAAGCTGTGAGAGACAATAGGCATCTGATACCAAAGATACTGGGACAGAGCTACGCAAACAACGCGTTCCCCGGGTGGGAACCCCTCCCCCGCGCGCGGAGGCTGCACACTGGTGTGGAGGAGGCCCCAGGAAGGCCGTTTCTAGAGAGAGAACGGGCAGCGCGCCTTGCAGAGAGGACAGAGGGCGGGACAGAGTGGCCGGCCTCTCACCTTACACCTAGAGTAAGGGTTTCAGGGGCCCACCCTGCAGAGTGGAAACTAGACAGAGGCTGGATTTTATACCCAAAGTCACCGCAGGAATTTTCATTCTTTAAAAATGAGCAGAAAAAGACACAAAGTTGCTTTCTGATGACATTTCCCCGAATCCGCTTGTTTGGCAGGCTGCTCAAACCTGGCAGCCCCCAAAAGGCCCTCATTAACGCACTTCCCGTCGTTCCACTGCCGACATCTTCCGGAGAATCAGGCAATGCTGGTGCTATTTCCCCTACTCGGCAGATGAGGAAACCGGTTCTGAGAAGGTCAGGGTCAGAGAGAAAACCGCAGCTATGTTGGCCCCTCTGGTTCGCTTTCCTCCTCTGATGCTCTTGTTCAGAGCTAAGCTCCAGACCACTTATTTGTCCACAGATAGAATCAGAACTCAGTTCCTATTGCTCACGCAGGGCACTAAAACCAGGTGCAACACGGTTAGGATTTTTGCCTCCCCTTCCTCTTCCAAGTACAGGGTGTCCCTAAGAATGTCTACACACTGTCCCCGCTGCTAGCTCAATTTTGAAAATGAAATGTATTTTAATAAACACTGCCTTTACCATTATTCAAAGTGCGTGCATCCATTTTTTGGGGATGCCCTATGTATTGAGGTAAAATTCGGATCACCAGGAGGAAAAAAGCTACCCAGTGTTGGAAATATGTTCAATGTACACGAAGAAAGTCCTATAAACTGTCGGACATGTCACAGCCCTCGTTGTTCACACACTGGAAATGTTCATGAAGCTAGAAGTGAACTGCACACACAAGACCATGACAACCGTTCTTGATGAGACTTCCCATCCCCATATCCAAACCCTTGGGCCTCGGCCCCACCCGCGGCCACTGTTCTCCTGTTTTGTGTGGGCAAGTTCCAGCCAGGAACTCCTCATGTGGAGGAGATGCGACCGCTGGCTAAGGTGAGCGGGAGGCCGGTGCAGGATGAAGAAGAAGACACAAAGTTGCTTTCTGATGACATTTCCCCGAATCCGCTTGTTTGGCAGGCTGCTCAAACCTGGCAGCCCCCAAAAGGCCCTCATTAACGCACTTCCCGTCGTTCCACTGCCGACATCTTCCGGAGAATCAGGCAATGCTGGTGCTATTTCCCCTACTCGGCAGATGAGGAAACCGGTTCTGAGAAGGTCAAGGTCAGAGAGAAAGCCGCAGCTATGTTGGCCCCTCTGGTTCGCCTTCCTCCTCTGATGCTCTTGTTCAGAGCTACGCTCCAGACCATTTATTTGTCCACAGATAGAATCAGAACTCAGTCCCTATTGCTCACGCAGGGCACTAAAACCAAGTGCAACACGGTTAGGATTTTTGCCTCCCCCTCCTCTTCCAAGTACAGGGTCTCCCTAAGAATGTCTACACGCTGTCCCCGCTGCTAGCTCAATTTTGAAATGAAATGTATTTTAATAAACACTGCCTTTACCATTATTCAAAGTGCGTGCATCCATTTTTTGGGGATGCCCTATGTATTGAGGTAAAATTCGGATCACCATGAGGAAAAAAGCTACCCAGTGTTGGAAATATGTTCAATGTACACGAGAAGAAAGTCATAAACTGTCGGACATGTCACAGCCCTTGTTGTTCACACACTGGAAATGTTCATGAAGCTAGAAGTGAACTGCACACACAAGACCATGACAACCGTTCTTGATGAGACTTCCCATCCCCATATCCAAACCCCTGGGGGTCGGCCCCACCCGCGGCCACTGTTCTCCTGTTTTGTGTGGGCAAGTTCCAGCCAGGAACTCCTCATGTGGAGGAGATGCGACCGCTGGCTAAGGTGAGCGGGAGGCCGGTGCAGGATGAAGTCAGGCTGAGCAGGGAAAG